CACCCCACCCCGCCCCATGCTGAGAAGCAGCTGCTCAGCAAATGCAGATGGGGAGCCTGCGGCGCTCAGCCCAGCAGAAGGACTCCAGTGCCCAAACCCTGGCCGCCCTTGAGAACAGCGTGGGGAGTGCTCAAGGGCAGTGGGCACGCAGGCCCCATAAGCATCAGTATTTTCACAGGGCCCCAGACTTCACCTTGCACGTGAGAAGGTGTATGGCTGATGTCACACCCCAGACAGGCTTCCCACACAGCCTGCGTGTCTCATTAGTCAAGCTCATTGCTTCAAGCTTCCCTGCTTCTGGGAAGCCGGCCCTGAGTGTCCCACCCCAAGAGCAGTTAACAGGTGTCCCCCATCCACCACAAGTTGTGCCATCCCCAGAACATCCCTCTCTCTCAGCACCGTCCCCACCCACACTGCACTCATCAGGACCAGCCTGCCTCCCAGTCCATGGTGGCCTCTCTGGGGCCAGGAACTGGGTTTTACATGAGCACATAGTGGGTGCCTCCAGAAGTGAGTTTTGAATAGAATAAAAAAATAGCCAGGGTTCTGGTTCTCCCAGCCTGCAGAGCCCCCGGGAACAAGACCACAGTGGGGACTCCAGCTCTCTGTCACCTCTGAGCCCCTCAGAGGCCCCTTGATGTGCTGCTCTGTTTCCCTGGCAGGGACGGCTCTTCCTCCAGGGAAGGAACATGGCCAGCTGGGTGGTTTTGGGTCCCTCTCCTCTGGAAGTCTGAACTTGCCTTCGCTCTTTGTCCTTTGTCCTTTGTCCCTGGGCGCAGAGCCAATGCCATGGCTCAGAGCCTGTGCCGAACCTGACTATGTTGGGAAGGGACGGACTGAAGGGTGCTGAGACCCACTGCCTGGCATGGTCTCTCCACCCAAGACTTTGTGGCTTCCAAGTGGAGGGTCATTAGCTCAGAATAAAACTTCGCTCTGCTCACTGGGATTGTGGGCACCGTAAGGCTTTCATTTTCTCTCTGATGGAGGGCTCAGCTCTAAACCAAACAGCCACTCGCTATTCCTGGAGGCCCAGCCTTAGGAGGGCCCCTGAGAGCTCACAGAGGCCAAGGCCTGTACTTGGAGAGGCTCAGGACTGTGTCAGGACTGGCTCAGATCTGTGTTGCAAAAACAGCTCAGGGCTAGACTTCAGAAACCTCCGTTCCTGCCCTAAGTTTGCTTTTAACTGGCTTTGAAGACAATCTACCCACGAGGCAAGAGCTGAGGTCTGAGGGAGGACAGGTAACCAAGGAAGGCTTCCTTGTGGAGGCAGACGGCAGACGTCAGGCTTCCCTTAGCTCAGGCCCTCCTTCTCTCCTGGCCAGACTCAGGCAATGGCCTCTGTGGGCCTCTCTGTCCCTGGTCTCCTTGGCAATTCCCCACCCACCCCATGGTGCTCCCAGTGTGTGACACTCGTAGGTCGGCTCTCATCCCGGCCCTGCTCACCATTCTTCAGGGAACCATGACATGGAGCTGCCCCCATCGCCCTGCCAGACCCTCACCGAGGGCCCTGCCCTCCCTTAGAGCCTGTCCTGTAAACACTGGAGCTGCCCATAGACTGGCAGAGGGGGTGCTAACCCTCCTCACTGAGGGACTTTCATGGGTGTTATTGGACCTGGTGGTTACAGTATCTCTGTACCGTGGGCCCGTGGGCCCTGTTTCTCAGCCGAGGAGATGGAGTCAAGAAGATGCAGGGAGGGCTGAGTGGTGGGCCCAGGCTGGCTGTGGTCTGCCCGGTTCTAGCCAGGCAGCCCTTCCAGCACCCAGCTTGCCCTGCCCCCCGCTGTGGTAAGCGGGCCGTCTTACTCACATCACCCCAAATGGGAGCTGCTGGGAAGCCCCTCCACCTCCTCGCTGCTGACGTTTGAACTAGAACATTCTTTCTGGGGAGGGCTGTTCTGCATATCTTAGGATGTTTAACAGCGTCCCTGGCCTCAACCTACTAGATGCCAATAGAAACCTTTCCACCTCCTGCTGTGGCAACCAAAACTGTCCCCAAACATTGACGAATATCCCCAAAGGTGGAGACATCCCAGTTGAGAGCCTCTGGTCTAAGGTATCATATGCACAAAGCATCCTGAGTTCTCCATGTTTTAAAATGCACAATTCTCTTATGTTCTACTTCATAGTATGTTGTATTGATTTTACCATAAAATGTTTTGCTACCAAATTTTTAAGTGACATTGATGTTCTGAGAAGATGTTTGTCTCACAAGTCTCTTGATCCTAAGATGCGTTGCCGTGGACACCAGCATGTGATCACAGCCGGCCATAAAGCAGACTGGTTCATGTGCTGTCCCCTCGCTGCTCCATTGAGCCAGTTGGGGACTTTGAGGAGGCTGTGTGCTCTCTGAGGCCTGTGCAGAGGGGCTTGGTGGCTGAGGGGCCGTTGCCTGGGAAAGCCTTTGCCTGGCACAGTTGCCCGTAGAGCTGTGTGACACTAGACCCCTCCTTTGCCCTCTTTTTACCAGGGACTACTTCATCACCTGCCCAGTGATTGACATGGCCAGCCAGTGGGCAAGGAGGGCCCGAGGAAACGTGTTCATGTACCACGCTCCCCAGAGTTATGGCCATGGCAGGTAAGGTGGCTGTGTGGCAGATGAAGGGAGTATGGCGGGAAGTCCCTGCTCCTTCTGCTCCTGTGATCCACAGGATGGCAGAGAATAGAGGGCAGGACCGAGGGACAAGCCCTGATTCGATGATGTGGGACTCTGCCCTTAACCTGTGTGAGCCTCAGTCTCATCATCTGAAAAATGGGTATAATAGTAACAGGCACTTTATTTCACAGTATTTTAGAAAAGGAAAGTAAAATAAAAGATATAGAAAGTGCCTTGGAATTGCAATATTAGCTATTGATGAATTAACCTGGCTGGGGAGAGCTTTAATCCCACATGTTTATGCCTCTGAGAACAGGAAGGTGATCCGACCACCTCATTTGACAGGTGTAGAACGGGTCCTTTCCAGTCTAGTTCATAGGCTCCATGGGGGCTAGGTTTTGCCATATGCAAAATGGGAGTAGAGGTGTGGGAGGGGCCAAGAGCACTGATTCTTCAATGGGTTCTGAGGGACCCTGTAGCCAGGGCCCCCGGGAGAAGGAGAGAGAGGTGCAGGGCCTGAGCTTTCCAGCCCCTCTCTTGTTGTCTCAGAGCTGCACCTCGAAGAAAATTTAAGGTTATGCAGTTCAGAGAGGTATGAAAGACAAGTGGGCTCCGTCACCTTCAAGGTGCCATCTAACTCTCACATCCTACCAGTTTTGGAGGAAAGAGGCATCCAGAGTCCCTGAACCATTTTGCAGGCAGAGATGGTGGCACACGTAGAGAGGCAGAAAGTGTTCTGGTTCGAGCAGGGACTCCGGGCCGACTGCCTTGGCTGGAAACCCCCTCTGATTCTTATTAGCTGGGTGACCTAGGCAAGTCACTTAACCGCCTCAGTGACTCAGTTTCTTCATCTGAAAAATGGGAATAAGAGTAGTAGTACCCACTTGAGAGGGCTGCTGTGGTGATTACTTTGTAAAGCAGATGGGTCCTGGTGAACTGTAAGTGCTAAGCGTCCCGTTTTTCTTGTCCATCAGGACGCCTTCTTGGCAGCTCTCTGTCTTGTGTCTTCTCTGCCCACCACAGTCACAGTGGATGCAAACTATGTAGTAGATGCTTGAATCAATGAATGAATCACAGAAACTAATTTAATTTGTTGGCAAGTTGATCTCACTCTGCTAGAAAAGACAGCTCTCTCCCTGTGCCCTGGAGCTGTCACCCTCTCATTTATTCCTGGCTCAAATCTACAGACTTAAAATATATGTGTGTGCCTTACGTGTCCAGCCATCTGTCTCATGCCTCCATTTCTGTAAGCATATATTAGCTTTCCTGGCATCACTAGAGAACAAAACACAATAAATTACCACTTTCTCACTGACTGTGGTTAATGAATCACAGACTAGCGTGGCTCTGTGACGGCTCACCTGTGTTATAGATGGGATTTTTGTCCCTGAAATTGAGGGACAAACTCTGGTAGGAAAGACTTGATTGATTTTGAATGGAGGGTGGGGTGGGCTAGGGCTCTTGAGATTAAAAATCTACCCAGGCTCCATGTAGGAGGCTGCACTACTCTTTAATTTTGGAAGTAGTGGCTCAGTACAGTGGAAGAACACATTTTTTTTAGGTTAATTTCATCTCTTTCACTTATGAATTCTCTTCATTTGAGCAGATTCTTGTACCTTGATTTCTTTAGCTATAAAATGGGTATAGTTACACCTGCTTCACAGTGTGAAGACTCAAGTTAATGAGCAGTAAACACCTGGCATGTTGTAGCTGTTCAATATTGGTTATTTTCCCTTTAGGAAAAATAAGTTTCTGAGAACTAAAAAAACCCACAAAACTTAAAATGACTAAAGAAGCAGTAATGTTCCATCTTCATAAGTTGTCCCAACCCTGGAAAACAAAGTCATAAATTCTAGACTGAAGATATTTTGTACAACACATTCTAGACAGTTCTGTGCATTCCAGGGGCTTTTAACATTTCAGATTCAAAACAGTATCTTTCTAGTTGACTGTCTTGGTGAGTTTGTTGGAATTAGCAAACCAAAGAAAATATTAAGTGGCTGGATTCTTGAACTGGGTCCATTGGTCTAGCTACATCCTGTGTGATTAACAAGATTATTTCCCAGTAAAGATGGAAGTAAGTCATTTTCTGAAGCTGACCACTCCAATTTTGTGATATGGAAAAGCCTATGGTGTACACACCCTCTCCAACACCAATTCAGTAAATATTTATCTACTGCCTTCTCTGCCCCAGATCCTCTTCTAGCTCCTAGAGATGGAGCANCCTCTCCAACACCAATTCAGTAAATATTTACCTACTGCCTTCTCTGCCCCAGATCCTCTTCTAGCTCCTAGAGATGGAGCAGCCCATAAGCCTCTTGGAACTAGCACAATAAGCAGGGAATGGGGCTGATGAGTGTCTGCAGATAGGGTGCAAAGAAAAGACAACCCACACATAAACAGGCAGAGTAAATTCAAATAACTGCTCTGGAAGGAGAAAAGGAAAAGGTTTGGCATGTTGGAGGGTAAAGGAGGGGGCCAGAAGCTGGAGTCTATTGAAGAGAAAGAAAGTAAAGTGGTTGGAGATTCACGGGGGAAAAAGACAGGATCTTGAAGTTCACATAGGAGTTTGTAAACAATGGCAGGCAAAAAAGTAGTATTTTATTTGAGTATGGTGAAAAAGCACTGGAGATTTTTAAGAAGCCATGTTATATAGAATGCCCATTGGTCTTTTCTTACCCATTCAAAACCTAGCTCTCTGAAAGCCAAGGTTTTGTGTGTTTTTTAATAGAATGTAGAATAGAAACCCTGTTTTCCCATGCAATGATCATATAGTTAATCAGAAAATCCAATTAAAATGGAGACTCCTAGGAAATGATTAAGATAGGTACACCACAAATATTTCATTTGAGCTGGGCGTGGCCAGTTGCCTTTGTTTGGGCTCAGGGTCAAAGGCTTGAGCAGGTACTGCTGTTTGGAGCTCTCCCTGTGAACTTCACAACACAACAGTGCGTGCTCTCTCACTGCACACAGTGCGTGCGCTGTGGCTGCCCGTTTGACTTTCTTGGAAGTGGGGCATCCACATGCTGTGTGGTTAAGCTCCATAATTACAATAACAAACGCAAGGGGCATAAACAGGTTCGAGACAAACACGGTCGGCTCTGGGTAAACACGAACTTCCTGGCGGGAGTGATGCCTCAGGCCAGGGCCCGGAGAGGTCGGCCTTTCTGAGCAGCAGCCCCTAGGCGCAGTGGAGGGAGGGAGGGTGCAGGTGAGCCCAGCGAGTCCACTGGAAGCTTCCCCGGCACTGCCAGCCACTGTCACCCAGCTGTGCCGGGCGTTAGGGACTTATGGAAACATTGCAAGTGTGTCACTTGGCTCCAGGGGTGGCATTATTCTTCTCCATAAATTGGGGAGCTCATTTTTTAAAGAACTGCGTGGCGCATGCTTTGGTAGAACAGAAGCCATTTGTCTGTTACTCGTGGGCGAACTTGAACTTTGCATTAGATGTGCCCGGAGAAGCACAGTAACGGGCTTCTATGCGCGAGTCACTTACCAGCGCCTCAGCCCTCAAAATAAAAGCCTGGGAAGCAGGAGGAGTTTCATGCTCTTCCTTCCCTAATTTCCTCTGGAGGAAGTTATCTAGAGATGCCAGCTACAGATAAGAAGGGGAGTGTTTTATGGGGATGAGGTCAATGAACTTCCTCCTGCAGACAGAACAACAGGGAAAGAAGGCTCTGGAACAACAGGCTCTGAAATCAGTGCAACCAGATGGGCTGGAGCGAGGGGCCTTTCTGCAGCAGAAGCCTCTTGAACCCATTATCGTGAGAAGAACCACCTTCGTCATGCACTTAAGATCCTACCCACTCTCCCCCCTGGCCTCAAGGGGAGCCCAGCTCACCCCACCTTCCCAGCTCCAGTCATTGTGTTGGCATGGCCAAGGTCAAGGTCACGTGCATTCCTTTGGTGACATCATCTCAGTCACTGTGCTGCCTAATTAGCCCCCAGTGCCCATGAATGAGGGTCCCTCATGCTGGAAGCAGAGCTCCAGCCAGGAGCTGGCACAGGGAATAGTCTCTGAAGTGTGGCTTCTGGCCTTGGCTTGCTACAGTGCAGGCGGAACCTCCCTGTGCGTCCACATCAGCACCGTTTAAGGCAGGTGGGATAGCTGAAAGGTCAGGTAGGGGGACATCGTGTGGAAAGAACCAGCCTCTGTCTTTCCTGGACACCTGCAGCGACCCTGTGACCTGTTACTTCTGATCTTTGTTTTCCCTTTGCTCCAGGAATGGTCCTAAAAGAAAGGCAGCTTGCAAATGGTCTGCTTAGAAACGTTGATGTGCCCTGTCCCCTTTCAGAGGAGGCTCTCAATTCCTCCAGCCTCAGTTCTCACACCTTTCACAGAACCGGAGCGTAATTTTATGGTTCTAAAACTTTGGGTTTTCCTGGACCAGGACACATTCCCATTTCACTTTGCAGCGTGATGCACTTCTCCATGCAATACACGAGGCCAGAGTGTTGGGGACTCAGTTACCTGTCGTAGCAGCTCCCCTTGCGGCCACCAACCACCCGCCCAATCACACCTCCCTGTCCCCTTTTCCATACAAAGCACAGAACCTACTCCACGCCATCACACGCGATCACACGCACCGAGTCTCTGCCCAAAACACACCCCCTTCACCCACGGGCTAAACCCCACTCCTCTTCCAAGCCTGAGTCAACTGTGGTTTCCTCTCTGACTTTCCACAAGTCCTCTCCATTTCCTCACCTGAAACAAGGGTATCACTTTTTCTCTCCTCCAATGGCACTTTGTAAGTATTTCCATCCTTTGATATCTATCTCTCTATCTCTCTACCTGTCATACAGGTCACGGCATTTTATTTTTTAATGTTGACTTCTTTGCATTCCCTTTAAACTGTGAGCCCCATGCCAGCTTGGCTGACTTACCCCTTTTTTTATCCCCGGCACCTATTCAGAGCACGACACAGTAAGCATTCGGCAAGGGTGGCTTGAGTGCGGTCTTGTCCTGACATCCTGTTTTGCCACTGTCCTCACTGAACTATATTCACATCCTGAGACCGAACACACACAGTCATCCCTCAAGCTGTGTGGCTGTCAGCCCTTCCCACAGTCTGGCCCAATGTCAGGTTACCAGCATCAGCAACTCCTCCCTGGGAGTCGATCTGTAAGTTTGAAAGGGAATCCATTCACCCTCTCTCCTCGGGCATCTGATGACACCACGTGAGAGGCTGAGTAGGGATGATCTGACCCATTTTACAAATTCAAAGCCCAAGGCTCAGAGTCAGTGGTGGAAGTGGGGTTTGACTCAAGCCCACTCAGCCTGAGCACGAAGCTTCCCCAGGCCCCAGGCCCACATGTGACAGGAGAATATCCAGACCTGGCCTGAGCCCAGAACAAGTCACTGTCACATTTGGGAGAATTTGACTGAAGTATTATGACCACAAACAACAAATGACAACTAAAAGCTAAATGAAACCAGCAGGACTGTACACTATGTGACTGCCGTGGGTTTCTGTGTCTATCAGCGGTCGAACCCAGCACAGAGCACAGAAACCAAAGCAATGCGCACAGACCGTCTGCCCCAGGCTTCAAACACGCAGCTATCGGGTTTCTCCCTTTACCTTGCCAAGCCCTGGTGTGTTCTTTCCCGTCTCCTGCTGATGCTGCGTCCAGATCCCCCTTCTTCCTCCAGAGGATCCTAGGACTCTCAGCCGGGGCGCCGACTCACTGAAGGCTTGGTGCTCCCGTCCCAAATGCCTACATCCGAGGTTCCCACTGTCGGCCCCTCCTCCAGATGCCTGCCTTAAACTGCTCAAAATAACTCCAGCATCCTGATAAAGATCAGCCCTGCTAAGGAAAAAACAAAGCAGAAGTCCTCACACACAACAGGCCCTCAGATTAAACACATCGGATGGGCTGGAATGCCAGGCCTTGCCCCGAAGCAGGGCTCTGGAGCCTGCTGGGGTCACAGGCGGCGATGGGCTGGCGCCGGCCGACGCCAGCTCACAAGAACCAGTGTGCATGTCTTGTTCCAACTCTGTGTTTGGCAGGAGTATTTACACCATGGAAACTGGCAAATGCTACAGTGGAGGACTTCTCACCACACTCTGCAAAGCCAGGTGTTAAACAGTCACCTGCACACCGTTGGCACAGACCTTCTTGAGAATGTGATGAGAGCTATGGCATCTCTCCCGAGAGAGGCTCATATAGTTTCACACCATTTCACACAGAATATCAGGGAACTCGTGGTCTTCTGAAGCCCTATAATAGAACCCCCAGGATAAAGAACTCCCCCATTCTTAAGCTTTCGGGTGTTTCTCACAGGGAAAATGGAAACATAAATGGACCTGTGAGCCAGAAACTGGGCCAGAGATTTAAAATATTTCATTGCAAAATGTCATCCAATGTCTGGAAGCATGATTGTGCCACCATTTTATAGATGAGCACTCAGTGTCCCTATCTATAGGGACCAGAGAGTTATGTATCTTGTCCAAGATTTCACAGATCCTAAGCAATTGAGCTTGGATTTGAACCGAGGACTCTGACCTTGAAAGTTTGTCTCTGTTCGTCTGGAAGGCAGCTTTCTTTGGGAGACACAGTAGGCAAGCTGTTATGGTAGGCAGAATAGCAACCCTTCAAAGTGCCCACGTCCTAATCCCCCAAACCTGTGACTATGTTACCTTACATGGCAAAGGGACTTGAGATAGGAGACTGTCTGGGATAATCCAGGTGGCCCGATCTAATGACATGGGTCTTTCAAAGCAGAAGAGGGGGGCAGAGGGAAATGCGGGAGAGAGAGGCGTGCACAGGACTTGACTCACTGTTGCTGGCTCTGGGAATAGAGGAAGGGGGCTGTGGATAGTGGCTGCTAGGTGCTAAGAATGGCCTTTAGTTTATAGCCAATAGATATGCCACAGATCTGCCCCAAGGGGCACATGGACACAAGGTCCAGCCAAATCTCAAGTAAACAAAGCACTAAGTAGGAATCCTAAATGTAAAGAGAGAAAAGTCTTCATTTGGGAAGGAATGCTGGTTTGGGGCTCATTTCATGTTTCCAGCAATTTATTTTTCCTTTAACTTTTGCTTCTGCTTATCTCCGTGTGTTTCCTCAGCCTGGACTTGCTGACCGATGTCCAGTATGCCTTTGGGCTGCCCTTGCACCCTGCCTACGAGGGCCAGTTTACCCAGGAGGAGAAAAGCACGTCCCTGAAAGTCCTGCAGTACTTTTCCAACTTCATCCGCTCAGGGTGAGTGGACCACGTGCCCAATGCAGTCACTGTGTGCTCCAGCCCACCCCAAACACAGAGGCCACGTCTCGCCTGATGGACTCGCCCTCTCCTCCCTAGATGGTGCAGTCACCTGCCACTGGTCTCCCTGTCTCAGTCTCCCCTCTCCGGCCAGAACCCCCTTTATGTAGATTAATCTGGGTGAAGAAACGTTTCAGTCAGACACCCTCTTGTTGACCACATCTGATGGCCCTGGATCAGGGTTTCTCAACCTCAGTACAGTTGACCCTGGGGCTGGACAAGTCTCTGGGGTGGGGACCATCCTGGGCACTGTAGGCTGTTTAGTAGCACCTCTGGCCTCCGCCTCACCCCATCCCAGGTGTGAGAACTCCAGGTATCTCAGACGTTGCCAAATGTCCTCTGGAAGGCAAAGTCACCTCAAGTTGAGGACCACTATGCTGGACTATCAAATTAAGTGAAAATGCTCAAGACCTGCCAATATCTTCCTCTAGCCCCCCCATATACCTCTGTTCCAGCCCAACTGGTATACTGGCCCCACTGTTCCCACCTCCCACGTTGCCTCCTGCTGTTGCTTCCCCTGTAGTTTACCCGCCTCCCTTTATCCCCTTGCCACACACGCATTGGTCACCTAGCACGCACTAGGTCCCCGGGAAAGATAAAAGGTAAAAAAGTCACAGTTCAATTGTAGGCCACTGACAGTCTGAAACATAAAATCCAACCGTAATTAAAAGCAGGACAAACAGACCTTTTTGCATTATTTTGTGGGGGTTAAGTAGAAAGGTTTCTTTTCACTTGGAGTTTGAAAATGTCTCGCTGAGGAGGCGGCCCTGCAGCGGGGCCTCAGAGGATGAACAGGGTACTGAGGGAGGCCGAGGGCAGAGGGCGCCCGCGGCAGGAGCGCGCGGGAGCGAAGGCGGGTAAGAAGCACGCCTGGTTCGGTGAATGTCGGGAGGTCAGGCCTGCGTGGGGGGCCCTGCTGGGAGAGGGGCCTGGGCGGCAAGTCTGAGAAGGAGCCTGTATCCGAGACGATGTGACATCCCCTTTCCACAGAAAGCTGACCTGTAGGTGCAGACCAGGGTGCCTGGCTCTGTGCTCCCCCTCCCACCCAGGCCGTGGGCAAGCACAGGCATCCCAGAGACTGGCTGTGGTGTCCAAAAAAAGGACACCAGGACATAACAGGGCACGGTGGCCTCCTGAGCGTTCAGAAACCCAGGAGGGCAAAGCCAGTGCCGCTGGGTCATGAACTCACGTCTTTTTCTTCTAGAAATGGTCTAAGAGCGTGAGTCAAGGGCCTCCATTCCTTAAGCATTTGCGATGCAGCAGTTAAACCCTGCTCTGATGCCTACAGATGGGTGAGCTGGTCCTCGGAGACCAGGGGCAAGTGGAAGTGGTCTCAAGCGATGAAGGGAAAGACAAGTTTCCTTCATGGATGTTTCCTTCTCATTTTCCCAGAAATCCCAACTACCCTCATGAGTTCTCGAGGAAAGTGCCTGAATTTGCAGTCCCCTGGCCTGACTTTGTCCCTGGTGCTGACGGAGAGAACTACAAGGAGTTCAGTGCCCTGCTCCCCAATCGACGGGGCCTGAAAAAGGCCGACTGCTCATTCTGGTCCAAGTACATCCGGTCCCTGAAGGCACCTGCAGGTAAGGGAGCCTGGAGCCGGTGGGGCAGGTGGAGGGAGGGCAGGGAGTTGATCTTCAGCATCTCCTGTGTGCGCTGTGCGTCCTGGAGCCAACTGTGTCATTGGGATGCCATCAGCACAGCTCTCGCTCATGAGGAGCTCGCAGTCTGGGGGACTCCTCTTTGCCAAAGGCCTCTTGTTCTGATGGAGGCAGGAGGTGGAGGTGAGAGAGAGAGAACACTGTGTGAGGAGGCTGGAAGGGCTGTGGGACAGTTGAGTGGGGAGAGAAGGTAGGACCGTGAACCTCATTCTCGCTGCCCTTGTAGGGCTGGGAAAACACCTTGGAGAGGGAGTTCTAGCGGGAGGGGAGGGGGTAGGCATTCTACCTCTTCCTGCTGAAATGGACTTCCTGTCAAAAAGAACTTCCTATCAAAGAGGAGTTAAGGAGAGAAAAGGAACCATGATAAGGGCACCGGGAATATTGAGATAAATGCAATGCTCTTAAGAAGCTTCTGGGAGTGAGGGAGGGAGTGACATAACCCAGTGAATGTTCTTCAGCTTTCCTGGTGCACGCTGGGAGTCTGCACCAGAGCTAGGGTTGGGGAAGGCTTTACTGGGGAGGTAGTGCTGGGGCTCAGTTTTTCAGAATGACAGGAGGTCTTCATGGGGAGACCGATAAGAGTGGAGCATTCAGCAGGGAGGTGACCTTGTCCAACATATTTTAGACTCTCACCTCTGCTTTTACCTTCTAAGACCAAGAGGCCCTTAGACTCCTGTTATACCCTTTGCATATCCCTACTGCCAGGTGAACTGAAAATGCCCCTCTGTAGGGATTAGTAGGGAATGCCCATCAGAGACTGCTGTCTCTTCTGGTCAAAAAGAATGAGACGAGGGAGGAGAAGCCCGAATCAGGATTGAACCAGCCTTGCCCCTCATGTTTCAGATGAAGCCAAGGATGAGCTGTCAGCAGCGAATGAAGAGGATGACCAGCCGGCTGGCTCTGGCCTGAGAGAAGAGCTCCTGGGCCTCCCAGATCCAGGCCCCAAGAGCTACAGCAAGTGACCCCTGAGACTTCTGCCCACCTTTCCAAACCCACCCCAGGCTGCCACCCTGGACACCTTATTCTCTAAAACAGCCACTAGCTTTCAATAAAGTGACTATATGCAGTAAAACATTAGTGACTGTGATTTGTTAATTCAAGACTGCCCTTGGGAGATCCCAAGGTATGACTTAATAATCTTCTAATCTTAAATGTCTAACTGAGTTCTGAAACTCAGGCTGCTGTTTCCATACATCAAATATTTACATAGCATCTTCTGTGTGCCAGGCTCTGTGCTGGGGAGTCAAGAACCCTGCCCTCCAGAAGTAGAGGAGAGCAGGTAAATAGATGTGACAGAGGATATAAGCATCCATCAAGGGCAGGCCCCAGAGTTCTACCTTCATGTTAAAAAGGATTCTCTTGTGAAGGTTCTAGAAAAGGGGTAGGAGTCCAGGTAGGCTGGTGCAATATTCTAAGCAAAAGACAATGATGTTTGAATCAAGGCAGAGAGGGTAGAAATGCAGGAGGAGCATATTCAAGAACCATTTAGGAAGTAGAATTGACAGGACTCGATTGAATGTGAAGAGGCTGGTGAAAGGAGATAGAATTATGACCTTGGCTTTCAGTCTATTTGGGTTTCCCCATAAGCAACTGATTTTATAATTCACACTCCTAAGGGACACATTCATGAAGGCAAATCTCCTGTTTACAGCTGTCTCTCTGTCTCTCTTAATCACACACACACACACACACACACACATANAGACTCTGTCTCTCTTAATCACACACACACACACACACACATACACACACCCCCAAGAAAAAGCAGATGNTCTCTCTGTCTCTCTTAATCACACACACACACACACACACACACATACACACACCCCCAAGAAAAAGCAGATGGAGCTGATTAACAGTCTGTCATTTATATGGCATATCATGAGATGTGTTTACACATATCATCTTATTTGAACATAGACCAAACTCAGGGATGATTAGTATGCCGGGACTGTCACCCCATTTTGCAGGCATGGAAGGTAAAGCTCAGAAAGGTTTAGGGTGTGTCTGATTCACACAGGAAGGAGGTAGTGAATCAAAGTTCAACTTGGGTTTTCTGATTTCTGTTTCCTTGCACTTCCTGGACTTCGAATAGGTCTAGATGCATGTTGTGTGTTCTTCAAAACCTAGTGGTGGCACTGAAAACCCTAGGGTAACCTCTAACTTACATTATAGTCTCTATCAGTTAGGATGGGAACCCAAGCACCCAACTAAAGTGTCTTAACTAAAAGATAATCCTAGAGGTGGTTGGTCCTAGGACTGAGCAATGGTTCAGTTATGTCATCAAGGGTCCAGGCTCTTTCTAGCCCTCCTATTTACTGTCTTCAGCACCTCAATGACATCTCACGTCACTAATGCAATATGGCTGCCACAGCTCCAGACATCATATCCCCCCCTGACAGCATCCCGTGATGGAAGCAAGCAGGGAAGGGTGCAAAGGGCCTTCCTTTCAAGTGTCTCTTTCTTTTCTTGGAGGAAAATCTTTCTCAGAAATTACCAGTAGAATTTCCTTTACATCTCATAAGTTTGTGTCCCCACTTTTAGGGAATGGGCTTACCGTGATTGGATTAGACCAGTACAATTTAATCAACTGAGAGGGAAAGTAGCTGGGATTACATTGGTGGGTCCAATGTAATCACAAGGGTCCTTAAACTTAGAAAAAGGAGACAGAAGAGCGGACCAAGGAGATGACAGTGGGGGAAGGATGTGGCCCACTTTGCTGGGTTGGCTTTTTTTGGTGTTTTATTTTTTGCTGCTGGTTTTAAAGATGGAGGAAGGAGCCAAGAGCCCAGGAATGTGAGTGGCCTCTAAAAGCTGGACAAGGCAAGGACATGAATTCCTCCCTAAAACCTCTAGAAAGGAATGCACGGGGCTGACACCCTGATTGTAGCCCTCTAGATTCATGTTGGATTTCTGATCTACAGAACCATAAACTAATAAATTTGTGTTGCTTTAAGCCCATTTGTAAATTATTAAAGCATCCATTGAAAACTAACACATCCTTTTACCTGTTTAGAGGTATATTTTATCTTGCCCTTGGATAAAACCCCAGGCAGAACTCATTATTTCCCTGATCATGAAAAGTTCACTCCAGTCCAACATCAAAACCCCAAATCCACCATCATTAACCCTGAAAATGTGTCATTCGCTGGTTGGGTGGGGGATGGACTGATGCTGGTGGATCCAGTTTGGCCACCGGCTCTTGTGAGCTCTGCACATTGGGTTGAGCACAGGATGCCACCTGGTATTTGTTCTCAGCCTTTGAAAAATCAGAAAACAACCTGTTATAACATCCTGTTGTAAGAATAATGTCTGCTTTGCAGATTCACCCTGCTGATGGAGAGTGCTCACCAACATGAACAGAAAACTATAAAGTGCTGTTCAAAAACCCTTATAATTCACTGTCAACTTGGGGTCCACCTGTGAGAAGGTAGGAATGGGAAATAGAAGAGACCTGAAGGCCAGGCCACATGGCCTCTGCCCTGGACCAGCTTTCAAGAAAGTATGGCCAGAGAGACAACATGCAGCAGTCAGAATGTTTGAGCTGGAGGACACGTGGGCCCGCATCATGATGATGAGGCGGAGAACACGGAGAAGTGCTCACCTGGGGTCCCCAGCCGGCCCTGCCATCAGAGCTGCTGTCAGGACTCTGGGCCACCTCCCCTCTCTGGTGTTCTTGTTCCTGCATCAAGGAGATTCCCCTGAAGTCCGTATCCCTTTCCAGGTGGGATGGGCTGCCTCATGTGGGGGGGCAGCCTTGAAGATGTCAGAAACTCTTCCCCCACTCTGCAAAGGGCAGGAAGGTCATAGTTCCCCCAGCGTCAAGACAAGGGTCACCAAAGTGTCAGGAGGTGAAAAGGGCAGCACCTCAATCAGAGTGAGCCTCAGGATCAGTAGGGAAGGAATTGAGAAATTAAGTGATGACTGTTCTGAGTACAGTCAGTGGTCTGAGTCAGCTTCCTCCTGAGCTGGAAGCAACCGAGGGGCCAGGAAGGTAAGGCAAGTGACTTTCTCAAAGGGAAGTTGTAACACAAGCCTGTAAGGTTCTCCACCTGCCAAGGCCCCAAACAGAGGCGGCAGAGTGTCAGGGGCTCAGGGATGCCTCAGTCCCCCCTGGAGCTGGGGAGGCAAGGACAGTTTCTTCCAGACCATCCAAGGCCACCAGGCAGCGGTCCCAAGACAGGTCTGAAAGCCTGGAAGTCACCTGAGAAGCTTGTGGGAAATCAGATTTCTGTTCCCCAAATTCTGAGAATAAATGGGTCTAAGATGGGGCTCATAAATCTATATTTTCAAATGAACAAGACTTAAGGAATGACCTCCTGTGGTCCCCTGTCTGCCACCACCCTGGGCCTCTGCGGAGTCTGAATATTTTCTCTATGTGAGACTAACCAACTTTGCGCCCTTGATTTCCTGCTGAGATAAGAATTCTGCTCACCTAATGCCACCAGCCTCTCCTCACATACCTCCAAAAGCTGGATAGCAGCACAGTTGACTTCTTTTGGTTACTTTTATAACCCTAAAGGACATATTTTTCTTATTGCATCAATTTCCCAGCGGCTACCTAGACGACGAGTGTATCTGCACCCTCTCGCCGCCTGTCTGTTCTTTGCTTTTCCTTCCTACCTCCCACGCTCTCAGGTTCCCTTTGTCCTGTGACCTCACTCTGTCCCCAGGGTAACTCCGGCCACTGAAACCCAGTGCACTCCCCTGACCACGTTAGGCTTCTGGTATGTTGTTCCAGGCCCAGCAGTGCGACCCCGCTTCCCATTCTCATGTCCCTGACACGACCCTGCGTCTAAGACCAAATGGATTCTCTTTATTGTAGTTCATCAGTTGCTTAAAATTGTGATACATTTTAGGCTATAATATTATGGTGGAGCTTCTTGTTTTATCCAGCATTTATAATGGCTTCCTCCTACTCCTTCCTCTCTCTCCCCCC